CAGAGCAGTAATTTTATACATTTCTTGTGAAAGAAACATTTCTTATTCAATGGCCATAAAAATTATTTATATTAATGATGTCTCCAAAGTTCAATGAAGTTTTCACAGAAAAATAACCTATCAGAAATTGCGCCCGCCGGTTGGTGCACTGCTCCGCGACGAAAACGAGCTTGAGCAATGGCGACGTCGAACGGTGCACACTCGGTAAGTAATCCTACAATTTTTTGTTTATAGCATAGTTTATACGGATTATTCCCTAAAAAAATTATACATATTTTGGAAATGTTGAGTCGAATTAGTCTAGAATCGATTAATTTTATGGAAGAAAACCTTTCAAACAACTGTAGTCCGTAAACTTCACACGTGTTGGGCTGTGATTGACAAGGACTCGTACAAAATTGATTCATAAACGACGGAACGTATCTACCGTGTTATAGGGGGGTTGACTGTAGTTGATACCTGAAATAAAAAAAAAAAAAAAAAAACATTCTTAATAGACAGTATGTTCAAGTAGAATTTTGACAAGTACTGCACTTTTAGACTAGGCACATAGTAAATATGTAGTCTAAGTGTGAAATGCACTAACTGTACTGTACTGTATATTATAAAGTATTTATCAAATAAAAGTCATTCTAATTATATGAAGTAAAAACTATGCCATAAAGTTACCCATATAATAATTTCGTAATGATTTTTACAGAAATAATTGCTCCAGACCAGAACGGATTGAAAGATTTTACTTCCAGTTTTTATTTTATTTTCCACTAGCAGACCCCGCCACGCGTTGTTGTTGCTCAAAATCTATTATAAGTGTATAATACTTCCTCTGTGTACACTAAGTACAGATTTTTCGAAAAATCATACTTAGTGTATATTCTCTTGACATACTCTATTAAAACGCAATCAAAAACGCAAAAAAATGCGTCTAAAATAGTATAAATAGAAGCAGAGTTCTTCACAGTAAGCCTTAATCCTCTTCATCTCTCCCCCCAGTGGGGGAATTTCGATATGTATCTATACTAATATTATAAAGAGGTAATGTTTGTAAGTATGTATGTAAGTTTATATGCAGCAGGTAATCTCCGAAACTACTCATCCGATTTCAAAAATTTTTTCATCATTATTTAGAATGGAACTTCAGGGTGGACATAGGCTGTATATTATTCCGTTAAACATGGGGGATGGACAGTTCTTTACAATAAGCCTTACGGGGAAGGCTTACCGTAAAGAACTCTGCTTCTATTTATACTATTTTAGATGCGGGTTTTTGCGTTTTTGATTGCGTTTTAATAGGGTACGTCAAGAGAATGTACACTAAGAAGAAATTTTTCGAAAAATTCTCCCCCCACGGGGGAAGTGTTATACATTTATAATAGATACATTTTGAGCCACAACAAGGCGTGGCGGGATCTGCTAGTATTAGATAAAAACACGTGTGTGTTCGAATGCAACGTTGTGTCAAAATTTCAAAGGAATCGGTAGGAACAAACGAGCATTACATTTTTACTTATATACATAGAAGATGATTTGGGTTCGTTTTTAGTTCATCCTCACAGAAAAACATAATGCCTTACACTTTAGTAGAAAAGTAAACTTAGGTCGTCGTACTCGCGGAGTTAACGCCATCTGTTGGACACAAAAGTCTTAATCCTAGATGATATCTTTTAATTTATATGACTGTTTAACAGAATAACATACAGCCTATGTCCACCCTGATGTTCCATTCTAAATATTGGTGTAAGAATTTTTGAAATCGGATGAGTAATTTCGGAGATTACCTCCTACATCCAAAATTACAAACTTTACCTCTTCATTATATTAGTATAGATTATTAATTTTAAACCTGGCATTTCTTGTTGTATGTTTCAGTTGTTGGCATTACACTGAAATATNAGGCGATTCTCGGGCAAAATAGGAACTATTTAGATAAGTCTCTAATTATCTCTTGTTTATCAATCCATTAGTTTTAACTAAAATATTATCATTTTCCATTAATTTTTGTCAAATTCAAAAAATTAAAAAAGCTGTTCACAGACACTTGAATTGCATTTATCGCAATAGTGATTGTTTAGTTGCCGATTTATTCGTGTGTCTGCAAATAATCACTAGTGCGCTGTTTGCAACCAAAATTTAAAAATTACGGATAATTTAAGGGTTAATTTTAATCATATGCATTTTAACATTTGGATTAAAGTGTAACAAATTATATTTCGATACGTAATTGTAAAACTACAGAATAATCATAACAAAAGTTTGATCAACAATAAAGATATATTTTTATAAAGTAAGTATTACCTGAATTAAATTTGATTAGCTATGTAATTAATATAAATCTTACTAAAATCATAAAATAACAAATGCGTGGCTATGCCTTTTATTAAAAAGTAGCTTTTTACACTCGTTGTTATTAATCCTAAATTTTAAAATTGCATGTGCAATTTTAAAATTTAGGAATGCCTATGAACAGCGATGGAAGTATGTTATGGTAAATAGAGCGTTTTATAGAAAAACTACTAAAATTAAGAAAGTATTATGGGGTTAATCGTTCCCATAACGGGCTTGCAAAAAAAGTGGCCATCATAGTCCCCACAGGAGGAAATAGTTTAAAAAATATTATTGAAAAATTTGATCTGAAAGTCTTTTTCCACTTATGATTAATATCGCGGTTTTTGTAATAATTTAATTTTTAGTAATAAATTGTAAATATTTTTTGATTTTAAAACTGATTTTTAAAAGAACAATAATTTTGAAAGAAAAGGTTACTTTTTTCATGTCTTTTTTAGTGAGTCATAACCAGAAAATGACATCTAAAAGACAAAATGAAGTTATTTCATATCTAGGGCTTAGTCGCTCAGAAATTTCAAGATCACCGTGAATTATTAAAGGTATTTGGTTCCGATCCTGCTTTGAATCCGCCTATAAATGGTGGACAACCGAAGAGATCAACACGGGATCGAATCCGAGAAAAATCTGTATAGATGTTTTTACTGATTATCTGACTAAAATGTGTTGTCCTCCGTCTTTCATCATTAGGACGTGCTATTGTAAGCATGGACGAATGTATTGATACAATGGGGCTAAAAATAAAAGGTTCTCTTAGTACCTACAGGATTAAGCGGAATTTTGTTTAACTATAAAAACTCTTACGCATCGTATGTAAAGAATAGTGCTTAAAAATTTATATCATATGAGGAGAAAATTCTATAATTTATTTCCAACAATTAATAAAAAGATAGAAGAATATGATTGTATCTTTAACCGAATTCATTTACTTTGAAAAATATCTTCCGAATGTATCACCAGGAACCTTCAGCCGAAATTCATCCATCGGCCACGACCTATAACATTACCAAAAAAGGGCAATAGAAAACACGAGAAGGACTCCCCCCAATAAAAAGGAGGAAGCGATGACGATTGCCGTCATTGGTCCCTCCATTCGTTCGCATTCTCTAGAATTCGTGGCAGATCTTGGATAACTTCGTACATCGAAGTTTGGCATCTACTCATCCCCTCGTGATTTCCTTCCAACCGAGGACGCCTCTGTTATCTAAACTAAAAGATTCCGAATAATCAATTCGTTACATTTTCAAACTGATCAACTCGAAAACGAAAGAATGATCTGTACAAGGTATTTACCTACCCGCGAATCTCTGTAAACTGTTTTTGCCTCGGGAATAAGACTCACAAAAATACGAGTTACAATAGCCCTTAGTTGTAGTACGCAGAAACGATAGCCAATACTTATAATATAAAAAGTCCCTTATAAATCCTGAATAATATGTATGATTCTTTACTGTAAATACTATTTTATGATAAAATAAACGGGTAATTATATTTATATTGATCCTTGGCTGGGTAAACTTCTTCAAGTCTCTTCAACCGCCTTTATCGCGGATTCGACCGCCTACGAACGTGACCGCTCGCGTGTGTACGTTTACTATCGCGATTTCTGTGTCCATAAAGACATAGTGGTGTCACCCTGCTGTTGTGTCTTGACGTGGTGCCGACCCCGCGGTGCCACAAATAACTCAAGAAACTTCGATAGTAAAAGTTAATTTTAATTATTCGAAATTAAAATGCATAAATTTTTAAATATTACGAGATTAACATTATATAATAAAGAGGAAAATTAATTTGTGAATCCGTATTTAAAAGTAGGGCATAATATCGAAGTAGAAGTAGTCAAATTCATCATTCAATCTCAATTCAGGTTGCGAATATTTAAAAATTTGAATTCCTTCGAACGGATTGTAGTAATTTGCCGAGGGACTGATTCTTATCTTATTTTCTGCAATGACGTCTCTCTCTATAATTTTAGCAATCAATCGATAAAATGTAAACTTTCGAATGTGTAGAGGAGCACTAAATAAAACACGTCCGTTCGTATAACATGCTTTTTTAGGACGCAATTTCTTCCGTAATATCAAGTTAAAAAAATAAGAGAACTTCACAGTTATACCTTCTTCTCTGCAATGTGTTATAGGAAGATAAACGTTGTTGATAAAACAATCTTCCTTAGCAACTATGTCGCATATAAATCGAATATTTGTATTCATACTCCATGCTGCGTTAATAAAGTATGCACTTCGATTAACATAAGAAAACCAGGACGAGAGCAATTCGTGCTTTCTTGGGCATGTAATATCACAAATACTGTCCGGAATAAACCACGTCTCGTCGAAATCTTTATTTTGCAAGTAGCATCTTATTGCATCTCTCTCTACGTCTGTTAAGATCGGTTCAACAAACACTTGCGATTCCAGAAACCATTCTGGCATTGTCAGAAATCGTATATACGGAAGAAATGGTTTCATGACTTGCCTTAGAGATTTTTCATTATTAACTCTCTTCTTGGCCCATTTTAAAACTATTTTGAAGATGTCTGCTTCCTCAATAGATGGATTTATTGGCCTGCGAACGATTCTATCCATGGTTGTTGCTTCACAGTTCAGCCATTCGTCCGATGAAAAAATTTCTTGCCATTTCGAACTTAATATATTCCAGCATAAATATAGCAATCTGCCATCCCTCTGTTGGCATGCTAAGTCGTGTACATAACACACGTTTATAACTCTTGACGAATCGGTCATGAAATCTCGACATTCTTTATTCAAATTACCTAGGCCTAATCGTTTGCTTACGCAAAATATGTCCGTTGCATTCTGTATTGATTTTACGGTTTCTCTTCCTTCTTCCAGATATCTAAAAACAGAAAATGCGATAAAAAAGGAACTATAATTAGAGCCAATGTATATGATTTTAAACTGATGGCAATTATCGTTATAGCAGAAGAAAACGATATTGATGCAAATTAGAATGTGTGAACATAAGAATTTAAAAGATAATTACAGAAACTCACTTTTTTATTTGTTTCAAAGTATCCGAGGAATATGGCATGTAAAAAAAGACTGATGTGTTTGAATAAGGACGTAGCATTGTTTTTATTCTCTCGCTATATTCACACAAAATGGATTTTGAGAAATGGATCTGTTGTTTGTCATTGCAGAATACTGTAATCCGATCCATTTATCTTAAATAAATTTTAACTATGCGAAATACCGTAAATAATGTAAGGAAAATTATTGTCTAATTTACAGTATTGTTTCGTCATAAATACCTTCGTACAGTATTGATTTTAAAGGTTAATCGTAAATAAATTTAACGAGAGTTAGGGCTGTTATTAACTTTTATTAGCTTTTTTCTCTTATTTAACAGTCCGAATGCAACCAAACATAGTATGATGATATTTCAGGACATATTTTTACAACACACATCACTTTTGACGCTGCATGCAACAAACATTTTATTTGTACGAGACACTCTTGTCATATAGCTTTGTAGGGGATACTACTCAATGTGATCCTATTTTGAAAGAGTAAAACCCCTGAAGACAAAATGATAGGTTTGCGTCCTCGATCAGGCTGCAATCTTAGACGAACAGTTTCCTAAGATCGTGTGATTTTTCTCTCGAGAGCTTGTGTAGTCGATAATAGTTCGAGTTGTAAATTTTCGCAATAGCGAAGTGCAGTTGCAGCTTTGTCGTTGTTTTTATAAAACAGTTTCCTATCAAATACCGCGTTCCGCAACGTAATAGGTAACATACCAGATAAGAATGTCATTAAGAATTATGTTTTTACCCAGAATATGGCTGCAACGAGTGTGCTTATCCAAAAGACTGCTTATTTTTATTTAAAGCGCCAAAATTGTCATAAGCGAATTTTGGTATTACTTATTAAGAATCTTTAGTTTTGTTTCATTTGGCACTTGTGCCTGCTAAGACTGATGACGAGGTGCCTCTTCTCTGAAAGTAAAGAGACGTCCCCGTTTACTTTTGACTACCGATGCCTTATCAGGTTTTCTTTTCTTATCTCAACGTGGTTCTGCTGCCATCTGCAAGATAAAGTTTAAGCGAAAAATATTCTTGTCGGTTACCATTTAGTTGAGGATGACATCCTTACGTTTATGAGAGCGGCATCAAACCTGCGTAACCCAATAACGACTTTGTGTTTTCACACTTTACTTTTTTAACATTTGATTAAGCACGTCTACTTCGTACTTTATTTTTGTTGTAAAAGATTGCCGATTCTGATGTGTTTTGTTGTTTGTTCTAGTGCCCTCTTGCGAGTGAAGGTTACTCAAAAAAATTACCTTTTTCTTTTTTCTCTGGAAAATTGTCAAGGTGCCATTTTCAAACTCTCACAAATTATTTTAAATAATTTGCATTAAAATCTCGCGACCCCAAGATTTCGCTAAGCAACCCCAAATGGGATCACGACCCATAGTTTAAGAAGCCCTGATCTCGGTCGAAGGTCAAGATTATTTTATGGTTAAAAGTATAAGCTTTTTCTAATGGGAAAAACCATACTTTTTATTACTGGAATAAACAGGGAGGTAAAAGTTACATTTACATGGAAACAACGGAAAATTTCACAATCATTGCCTCCCTGCCTATTCACCTCCCTGCCTATTTCAGTAATAAAAAGTATGGTTTTTCCCATTAGAAAAAGCTTATAATTTTAAGCTTAAAATAATCTTGACCTATGACCTAGACAATAAGGTCAAAGGTACTGTACATCCGGTTGTGAAATTTCCTGCTCTCTCCATTTCCGGTGTCAAAAATATGTGTTCCCATTGAAAAAAACAGACTTGACCATCAAATGATTTTGAAGGTCAAGCAAGGACAAGGTCACATCTGAGGTTACCAATTAATTGGCCCCTCGACACCCTACAACTTTTGTCTATACCTTTTTCCAAAATAATGAGATCCAATTAAGTTGTTTCAATGTCTCAAGATAAAAAATGCACCCTGTATATCTATATACCAAATGGGGGTGTGCAATTTGAATCTTGCCACTGGTGATGCTAGTGTCAGCTTGACAGAGTTGTACCTTACCTAACTTTCCGGAAGTGAGTAAAATAGTGGAGGCTGAGAGGAAGGTTTAATCCGCTTATAAAAACAGGGTTCTAAAGAATGTAATAGATGTCGAATTAAGAAAGAAAACAACAGAATTTGGACTATAGATAACAGAAATAAAGGCATAACTTTTAGAAAGGTACGCAAGCTTAAAATAATAAGTATTAAACTGAGGCATTTAGTTTTTGGGTTTTGTTTTCGTTAGCTGAGGTATTAATACGCAACACACAGTACAGTAGACCCTTATAACACGGATTCCTATAATTACGATTCCTATAAGACGGCGAAAAATTGCGACGGTATCCGTACAAACCTGGTAAAAAAACTCCTATAATTCGGTAAAACGTCATCGGGCAGCCGAACTACTTTCCGCCGTCCAGCGCCGCGCTACGAAGAATTTAGGCGGGTAAATTGAGTATACAGTAGAACCTCGATTATCCACCCTAATTGGGGACTGGGGTTGGTCGGATAATTGAAAAGTCGGATAACCGAAAAATATGAAAAAATCCATTATTAGTGTAGTATATTATTATATCCCATGTAATTAGTATATTAGTATATCGCTATTAACCTATTTTGCGTTGAATTTTCATCGATGTTAAGCCTAACAAAAATTTTTTAAAATAATAATCGTCGCTATTGTA